GCTTCAGGCCGCGGCAGCAGTGATGACTACTCAGAGCCGGCTTCCTGTTTAATTTTTGATGCAAAGTCATCGGGGAGTCATTCTCCTTCACTTTCAATTTCAGGGGTCCTGAAACCTTGCGTTTCTCCGCGGTAATAACCTGTGCTTTCTGTTCCCGGGGCGGGCGCCGCTCTCTGACTGATAAGTGCAGATGGAGGCTGTGCGGACTTGGACGGCTTTCCTCCAGCCCACCTCCTGGGCGCCCGCCATCTCAGGGCTGTTTCCTGAAAACCCAGCTCTTGCCTGGATGACATGTTTTCCAGGCGAGTGACTCATCAGAGCAGCCAACGGCTTAGAAAGTCCCTCTGCCCCCAGCTGCCGGCGGGGAGGAGCCCACGATGCAGATGAGCTGGTCACAGCTAATCACAGCCTCCCCTCAGATCTGCACTCCAGCCCTCCAGCCCTGCGTCTCCAGGCGGCGTGATCGCAGGCTGTGGGAAGTGCTAATCCAGACACCTTCCCAGTCCCCTCCCACCTTCTGCTGTCGTGTGCTGCCAAACCTCGCAGGGCTGGCCACTCCCGAAGCCCACCACCATGGTCTCTCATGTGTACACAGGACCCACTTTCCCACTTGCCTTTAGTTGGGAATCCCAAATTAGAGCTGCAAGTTTGTGTTGATTTTATCCTAGAAAATGTAGCCAGTTTTAATCAACAGATAAATGCTCATTAGAGAATACCATTGTTCTGCTGTTTAAAAGGTCGTGGTGCAGGCGGGGGCGGTGGCTCACACCTATAATCCCAGCACTTCGGGAAGCCACTGCAGGCAGATCACCTGAGATCAGGAGTTGGAGACCAGCGTGACTAACATGATGAAACCCCGTGTCTACTAAAAATGCAAAAGCCGGGCGAGTGGCGCATTCCTGTAATCCCAGCTACTCAGGAGACCAAGGCAGGAGAATCGCTTGAACCCGGAGGCGGAGGTTGCAGTGAGCCAAGATCGCACCACTGCACTCCAGCGTGGGTGACAGAGCAAGACTCCATCTCAAAAAAAAAAAAAAAAAAAAAAAAAAAAGGTTGTCGTGCAATTTTAGAATTTAATGGGAGCCCTATGGTCATCTAATCTGGCCCTTTAATTTGGTTAAATAAATAAGTAAACCGCCCACGGCCCTGAGAGGGCCCCTGGCTTGCTCAGCAGGCGGTGCCAGGCTGAGCTCCTCCCAGTACCTCGTCTTCCCTGCCTTGCTCTGAGTGGGGCTGTCCTTTGGACCCAGGCTGAGCCGTAGCTTGAGGTTCAGGGCCACTTCACTGTGTGCTAATAATCGGGTTCCAGCATTTGTCTTTCAGCAGTTTGTAGGTGTTCTTTTACATCCTTTCTTCTCATTAGTACTTGAACAAAGTTCTTTTCCTCATCTCATGTAGACAGCTCTGCCTCGAGTCCATAGCCCTGGGTAGCCGGACGTCCCTGAGCAGCCTCCTAGCATCGTCCAGGCGCCGAGCCACAGCCCTTCCTCCTGGGCTTTGTCTCATCCCTGCAGCCTCCTGAGCCTCTGCATCAGTGAAACCAGAACCATCTGGGGCTGCTTTTCTGGTCTGTGAAATGTGGAGCTGGGTCAGTCCCCGCCTCCCACCCCCGGGCTGGATCCAGGTGGGCTGTCAGCCTTTTAGGAGCACAGCGTCCCACTGCAGCGACATGGGTCGCAAGTCCGAGAGAGATTGTCACCCGTGGTTCTGACACAGCTTCGCTGGGCGCTATCCTGTCCGGTGTGCTGAGCCATGTCTCCAGTGCAGTTCAGGCCTTCAGCGCCAAGCAAAGGCCTTGGAGAGCGTGCAAATAGGCTTTCAGGAGGCACAGTTCCAAAGGTGCCCCGCCCAGCACTGACCGAGGCCACACTGGGCGCCACGCTGGTCTTGTCGGGCCACAGCCCAGACACCCTCTCTGCCCTTCTCTCGCTTCCACCTCCCCTAACTTGTACATACTTTCTTCTAACTCCTGAAGCAGAAACTTTTTATTTGATTAAATTCAAGGCATCTTTATAGAGTTTAATTGCAATAATTGGCTTTGCTGCTTTTACTGAGGGAGTAAGTCTCCCTTGGTGCTGCTGAATGCCATTTGCCTGCAGCTGGGGATTTACGGGGCGTGTGGGAGCTATTTATTGCACGTACTTTGAGGCGCTTTTGATTATCTCCTGATTGCCTCTTAACTCTATTGGCAGGAGAAGGGCATGTTTGTGCAAAGAGGGCCAGTCTTGGGAAAATTGAAATATATTTCATGTATTTGAAAGTGAAAAATTGTTCTTTAGTCCCTTTGTGTATCTTAAATTTTTACTTTTTTTCTGATTTTAACATTTTTCATTCTCATTTTGGTCCTTTACTAAGACATTGAGAAAATATGCCCTTTGACACAGCAGCACGGAGTGTCATTAGCCTAAAAAATAACACAGAGTCCTCAAGTCTCTTAGAAAATTACCCAGGAGAAGAGAGCACAGTGCTAGAAGCAGAATCCATGATACTGACCGTCACTGGGTTTCCACAAGGAACGTATTTCTAGCAGAAAGGGGGAGTAGGGCTGAAGGGGTTGCTGTCCTTCGTCCATCCCTACCATGAAGGTTGAGCCTCCCTAATTCAAAAATCCAAAATGATTCACAATCCAAAACTCTGTGACAGCCACCATGCTGCCACAGGTGGACAGTTCCCCTCCCGACCTCACGGGCGCACTTTATTTCATGCACAAAATTGTGTAAAATTCGCCTCAGGCTGTGTGTGTAAGAGGTATATGAAACATAAATGGAGTTTGCTCTTCGACTTGGGTCCCATCCCCATGAGATCTCATTATGTATATGCAAGTATTCCAAAACCTGCAGATATTCCAAAACCTGAAAATATCGGAAATCCAAAACACTTCCGGTCCCAGGCATTTTAGAAAAGAGATATTCAACCTGTATCCGTGGAAATCAAGACTGTGCTCTGTGGCCGTGCCGAGAGTGAGATGATTATTCACTTCCAGTTTAGAGTTCATGTTGGATGTTGTGGGGGGGGGACAGCAGCTGCCTCTCGCTGACCCCTGCTTTGTGTCAGCCGCTCTACAAGGACCCCGTGAGGGAGACATGATCATGAGTCCATTTCACAGATGGTGACACGGATCCTAAAGAGACAAAGCCACGTGCCCAAGGCCCCAGAGCCACACGCTGAATTTCACCAAGCGGCCTCCCACATGGGCTCCCTGGCCAGGCCCTCATCCTCTGGACAAGGCAGGGAGGCAGGCAGGTCAGCCGCTCCCTGGGCCGGAGCTAGTGGGCAGCAGAGCTGGGAGCAGAGGCCAGGCTCGTGGCTCACGGTCAGACCTTCTTTTCTTCCCTCTCTCCTTTTCGAAACTCACACGGGTCTGCTCATGCACAGAGAGCGCTTTCCTGCTCGCCCCCACTCGTTTAGCCAATGCTTATTGAAAGCCGGCTATGTGCCTGGCACTGGGAAAGAAGTTGGGTACGGCTGGATGCCAGGGCACCTGCGGGATGTCTGTAATTCAGCATGTGGCTCTGTGGCCTCAGGCACAGGGCTCTGTCTCTCTGGGATGAAACGGTCTCATGATCATGTCTGCCCCACAGTGTCCTTGTAGAGCAGCTGACACAAAGCAGGGGTCAGTCAGAGGCAGCTGCTGTCCCTCCGCCACAGGGCCGGAGATGGCGGAGGTGCTGGGGTGTGCCAAGCCTGGGGTACCACGAGAAGGCCAGAGCCACAGAAGGGCTTAGGGGTGCCGTGTGGGAGCCTCCGAGAACGCTCACAGGGCAGCTGGCCTGGACGGAGGTGCTGGCAGAGGGGCCCATTGGGAGGGGGCTGTTAGGACAACACCGAGACTCTGGCAAGGCCACATTAGGAAGGTGGCGACGGTGATGGTGGCTGGGGGTGCCCCGCAAGGCTGTTGCCTACACCTGGGAATCCCAGGAATTGGCCTGGAGGTGTTAGGTCCAATTCAAACTGCTGGCCGGTCCTACGATGGAATCGGGGTGTGGAGCTCTGGAGAGAGGTGCGAGGCTGTTTTAAATAGTGTCTGGGGGTGTCAGTGAGCAGGTGGCAGTGGGCGCCCTGAGCAAGGATGAGAGCAGGCAAGGAGAGGGCTGTGGAAGCTGCGGCGGCACGGCCCTGAAGGACGGGGTCGGGAGCCCAGGGAGGAGGCTGTCTTGTGTTCACAGTGACGGGAGGGAGGCCCGAGGAGAAAGCCTTGTAATGTCCAAGAGGGAGAACTCAAGAGGGACAGTGTGGTCGGTTACTATGACAAGGGGTCTCGACAGGGGAAGCACATCACCTGGGTGGTCTGTGGAGTCATTGTGGCTTGCGGGGAGCAGCTGTATGCATGGGAGGAGACCCCAGACTGCAGGGTGCCTGGTGAGACCCACGGGGAGGCGGCAGGGACTGACTGAGCAGGTGGCCGTCCACACCAGGGAGCAGTGGAGGGGAGGCAGGGAAGGAACGGGGGTGGGCCCGACGGCACCATCATAGCACAGAGCTCAGCCCTGACTGCCAGGACCGCTTTCCCTGACTGCACGCTGACCCCTCCTGATGGGGCATTTTGGCCTGGCCCCGGTGTCTCTCCCACATCCCTCCAGGACACTGCCCCATCAGAGCCTGTGCAGGGACCGCAGCTGCTTGGAACACATGGGCTGCTGCTACTTGGGTTCAAGTCACAGTCAGAAGCCACAGCAGAAAATGGGAAGCATTCGTGTCTTTTTCCCAGGCGTTTTTCTCATTTTGTTTTAAAGAGAAAAAAATGTGACAAACAAAATGGTGAGAATGCTGGCAGCACCAGCGTTCCCGCCTGCGCTCTCCCCTGGCCTCCCCTCGGACGTCTTCTGCAGCCCAAAGCTGAACAGCAGTGAGACGGTAAACATGCCGCCCGCCAGCTGCCATGGCCTCTGCCCAGACCCTTGCTGCCCACGCTCAGCCGGCTCCTCCTGTGCCCCGTGAAGTGGCCTCGTGTGGAAGCCCGTCCACAATGCTCAGTGGGTGTTCCTTTGTTCTCTCCGCAGGCAAGCCTGGGACCTGGCTGTTGACATCTGTCTGTCTCAGCTGCCGACGATCATCGAGGAAGGCACTGCGTTTCGGGTGAGTCCCTCCAAGGGTGTGCTGTGCATCTGCGGCGGCAGCCGCTTCTCTGGGCACCTGGACTTCAAAGCCCCCAGACTCGGGGTGGCGCCCAGGACTCTCAGGTGTCAGAGATTTTGTTTACCTGCCTGGAAAAAATGTAGTTGCCAGAGTTTAAAACATCGAGTCAACCAGGGTTTAAAGTTAGACTTTGAAAGAATGAACTTTTAAAACAATCCTATCTAAATTTTGCTATTACAGATCCGCTTTTCTTCATGCAGACTCACTCCCTGTGAGTGGTGATCATGTTACACTTTCTAGCCCTTTCGCCACAGACGCATTGTGGATCTCCCCCAGTCCTCTGACTCAGCCCTGTGGGACAGTGCCCCACAGAGGGTCTGGTGCTCAGCCCTGGAGGGGCATTCTGCCCCCAGCCACACTGCACGGGCGCTGGAGAGCCGAGCTACCCTAGGGCGGAATCTTGGTTTAGTCACAGCACCTGCGAGTGAGGGTGGCCCCGGGCCTTCGCAGCAGCTCCCTTGGACCCCCTCATGGTTTCTTAATGAGCTTTTGCCTTATGTGAGGCGTCGAGTCTGAAAATAGATAAATAAGACAGAGGCCTTGCCCTCCAGAAACCTGTGAGGATAGAGGAGCCTCTCACATCCACGCAGAATGCAAGGGAGGAATCAGTAGATGCGGTAGACGTGGGGAGGCCGGGGATCGGGGGGCGGCAGCCTGGGCAGAAGCCGGAGGGGACCAGCACCCCCGCCTCTCACTGGGGCTGTGCCTGAGACACCACCGCATCAGGCCTCAGAGCCACAGAGCCTAGCTGTGCCACCAAGGGCAAGTTTGGTCGCCTCCTGTGTCACGGTCTCCTCATTTAAGGGAGGGATTACGGTGGTATCCAACCCCAGGGGCGCTGGGAAGACAGAGTGAGTTAATGTAGGAAAAGTGCTTTGGACAGAGCCCAGCACAGGGCCCTTGGGAATTCATGTGCAGGCCACTGCCCCGGAGCCGGCTGTCACTGATGCGAGAGTGTCACCCTCCAGCCCAGGGCACAGGCACCGATGGTCAGGAAGGGTTCCATCCACTGCCCAGACTTTTAACTTTTAGTGCATATCACAGCCATCGGGGAAGCTTCTAACACACGCAGTCAGGAGCCTGGGGGTGCGTGCGTGCGTGTGCACGCGTGTGTGGGTGTGCATGAAGTGTGTGTGGTATGCCTGTGTGGGGTGTTTTAACTTCAGATGGTTTTGACATGCCCCCACGGATGGGATGACTGAGAAAACGGCCTTTTAAGAGAGCTTTCTTCTCTTTTATAATCTTCTGTTACCCTCCCCTTATTGCTTGATGTTTTGGCAACATTTGATTGTGCAAATTTTCAAACCTACAGCAAAGCTGGAAGAAATTTACAGTGAGCACCCCATGCCCACCACTTACTTCTGCCCCATCTTTGTATTCATGCATTTTCAAGGGCATTGCAGACCGCCCCGCATTTTAAACCATGAGGCCGAAGCCAGCTCCCCCCATGTGCTTGGCATCAACATTGGGCTTCTCGACAAAGGCCTTCCCGCCCTCCCTGCTGGACCACAAACCTTGGGGGCAATGACAGGGTCTCCTGCAGAGTGGCAAACCTTCACAGACGCCGCCTGCCCGCCCTCCGCCTGCCAGAGTGGCCCCGGAGAGCCTGCGCTCTTCCGAAGAGCTATGGGCCTGTTGCCGCAAACAGATATTTGGAAACCTTCGGGAAACTGGCCTTTCTGTACTCCGAGCTGACTTCACTCAGTACTTCTAAGAGATCAGGACAATCTGCTTTTCTATAAAATAATGCAGTTTCTATTTGCGTGTGTGCTCTTTCTAAATGGATACTTAGATTTCTGTGCCAGGTATCTTTGCCAAGTATCTTTTCAAGGATTTTACTCTATCTGTGCTAAACTACGAGAATCAATATTCTGCATTTGGGAATGATTTCACCATGTTGGGGTGTCAGGACAAGCCGGGGATAACTGACGTGGACCACACACTAGGTTCTTTTTGTTTTTATCTTATTGGAGGTATAACTTACACATAGAAAAGTGTATACATCATACATGTACAGCTTGGTGAAGTTTTAAGCTGAGCATACTCGTGGAATCACACCCAAATCAAGCAGCGCCCGTGAGCCCCCTCGGCGCCCCTCTTAGCTCCTCCCTTCCCCAGCAGTGGCCACTTTCCTGCCCCGTTTTGTGCTCGGATGCATGGAGTCACACAGGGTGTAGTCTCTGTGCCTGCCCGCTGTCACTCAGCATTGTTTGAGTAAGCTCACACTCACTGCCCCACAGCTCACTCTCACCGCACTGCAGCTCACACTGCACCACAACTCATACTGCACTGCAGCTCACACTGCACCACAACTCATACCGCACTGCAGCTCGCTCTTACTGCACTGCAGCTTACACTGCACCACACCTCATACCGCACTGCAGCTCACTCTCACTGCAGCTCACACCACACCACACCTCATACCGCACTGCAGCTCACACTCACTGCACCGCAGCTCACTCTCACCGCACTGCAGCTCACACCACACTGCAGCTCACTCTCACCACACCGCTCACACCGCACCACAGCTCATACCGCACTGCAGCTTACTCTCACCACACCGCAGCTCATACCACACCACAGCTCATACCGCACTGCAGCTCACACTCACTGCACCACAGCTCACACTCACTGCACCGCAGCTCACTCACTGCACCACAGCTCACACCGCACCACAGCTCATACCGCACTACACCTCACTCTCACCGCACTGCAGCTCACACCACACTACAGCTCATACCGCACTGCAGCTCACACTGCACCGCAGGTCACGCTCACCACACTGCAGCTCACACCACACTGCAGTCACACTCACCGTGCTGCAGCTTATACTGCACTGCAGCTCACTCTCACCGCACCACAGCTCACACTCATCGCACCGCAACTCACTCTCACCGCACTGCATCTCACACTCACAGCACCGCAGCTTACATGGAACCACAGCTCACTCTCACTATTCTACAGCTCACTCTCACGGCACCACAGCTCACTCTCACTGCACCACAGCTCACTCTCACTGCACTGCAACTCACACTGCACCACAGCTCATACTGCACTGCAGCTCACTTTCACTGCACTGCAGTTCACACAGCACCACAGCTCACACAGCACAGCTCACACTCACCGCATCGCAGCTGACACTGCACCGCATCGCAGCTGACAGTGCACCGCAGCTCACTCTCACTGCATTGCAGCTCACACGGCACCGCAGCTTACACTCATGGCACTGCAGCTCACTCTCACGGCACTGTGGCACCATGGCTCACTCTCACTGCACTGCTGCTCACTCTCACGGCACCACAGCTCACACTCACTGCACTGCAGCTCGCTCTCATGGCACCGCAGCTCACTCTCATGGCACCACAGCTCATGCTGCACTGCAGTTCACATGGCACTGCAGCTCACACTCACTACGCCACAGCTCACCGCAGCTCACATGACACCACAGCTCACACTCAGCGACACTGAAGCTCACTCTTACTGCACCACAGCTCACACGGCACTGCAGCTCACACGCCGCAGCTCACTCTCACCGCACTGCAACTCACTCTCACTACGCCACAGCTCACACTCACTGCGAGGTGGACGCCATTGGGTGTCCCAACATTCATGTGTCCCTTCTAGGGCCCCTGGGCATTTTCAGTCCTCACTAACACTGCTGGCTAGAGCCAGACTGTGTCACATCAGAGCCTGAGACAAAAGGGAATTCTGTGATATTGGTCCTCCCTTTGAAATGTTGATATCTTGTTCAGTATGGATTTTTGCATTAATTTGTATCTTTGTAAATATTGCACTGAAATATCATTTGTCTTGATGACTGGTTTTTTTTTGGGTACCCCACCTGCTAGCGCCAATTTTGTGCCTGAGGCCAAGGCCTCCCCTTCCTGGCTGTCCTCCCGTTCAGAGGTTGCTCCCTCCTGCACATTTCTCGGAGTGACCCTTCAGGGTCCCAGGGTTTGCCCATATTCAGCTTCAACAGATGCTGCCAGAGCGCTCTGAAAAGTGGCTGAGTCAGTTTACACTCCTGCCTGCAGCATTCGAGAGTTCTAGCTGCTATTTATTTATTTATTTGGCTATTATGGTTCAGTATGGAAAGGTATTTCCTTAAGAGCTAATCGTGTATTTCCCTGATGGTTAATAGAGCATTGTTTCATATTTTTATTGGCCATTGGAGTATCTTCTTTTGTAAATTGTTTGACTTTTGACCATTTTTCTTGTGTGTTATCTATTACTGATCCGTAGTGGTTCTGTGTCTATTCTAAATACAAGTCATTTGTCACCTATCACAAATAACTTTCTTGCTCTGTGGAGTTTCACTTTTTAAAGTTTTTTCTTGATGAACAGAATGTCCTTATTTTAACAAAATCTAATTAGTCAAATTTTTGTCCTTTATGGTTTGGGCTTTTGGTATCCTGTTTTATGAAACCTTTATTTCCTCTGCGATGAGCATTCTGAGCAGACGCTATGCTCTTTGAGCTAGCAGCCTGTGTGTTTCCCTTCACATCTGGACCTGCATCTGCTCACAGTTCACATCCCCCGTGAATGCTTGGCTTACTGGTGGGGTTTGCACTAAGGACCGTGTCCACGTGGCTGCCTCTGTTCCCTCCTTTGCACCAAGGACTGTGTCCACGTGGCTGCCTCTGTTCCCTCATTTGCACCAAGGACCGTGTCCACATGGCTGCCTCTGTTCCCTCGTTTGTCCTTTGCTCTCTCGTTCCTTGCACCAGGACCACGCAGTTGTAATGACAGGCTCTACACGACAGTTTCTAAGCTGGTAGACTAAGTCCCACAACTTCGTTTTTTTCCCGAGGTTACCTCAGTTACTTTTGGTCCTTTGCATTTCCATGTGAATTTTACAATCAGTATGTTAATTTTTGCAAAGAACCTGCTGGATTTTCATTGAGATTACAATTAATCTACAGATTGATTTGGGAGAAGTCACCACCTCTATAATATGGAGCCTTCTCCTCCCTCAACGTAGTTGTAAATGGTATCGTTTAAAATTTCACTTTCTGATTTTTCTCTATTAACAGTGATGTAGAGCCCTATCAAGGTTGAGGTTTTTCAGAGGCTGAGGCAGGAGAATTGCTTGAACCCAGGGGTAGAGGTTGCAGTGAGCCAAGATCGTGCCACTGCACACCAGCCTGGGCAACAGAGTGAGAGTCTGTCTCAAAAAAAAAAATGGTTTACTGGGATAGGAGGAGAAGCCAGAATGATTCCCCTGCAGTAGAAAGCTTGGGCTAATTGATTTTCTTGGGGGTATTAAAGGGAACCCTTCTGCAAACTGAGCAGCCGTACAGGGGGATAGAATGTCCCTACAGAGCCGTACAGAGGGGCAGAATGTCCCCTTGGCAGTGAACTTTTACCCTCTTTAAGCAGCAAGCTCATTGTAAGTGGCAAATGTATTGTGCCACTGTCAGGACGGAGAGCAGCCATCTCAGAATGTCTGGATGGTGAGAAAGGTGGCAGGTATGCTCAGGTTGATGGTAGCAGAAGTCCAGCTGGGCGGGTTCCACTCAGGTGCGACTCAGAGGCTCTCAGCCTCTCAGCTGGCCTTCCCATTTTCAGTCTGCTGCCCCTGTTTTTAGAATATGCCAAACTGCCTGGCACACAGGCTGACAACAGAGCAAAACTCCTGGCATCAGAATCGTCCTGGGAGAGCCAGGTGTGCGGTTGTGGCCAGGCAACCCAGACACTCAGCCCAACAGGACCTGTGAGCTCTCCGTCCCGCTGAATGGCTCCGCTCCCCTGCACACAGGGGCCAGCTCAGGAGCTCTTCATGGGGTAGAGGAAATCTCAATATTTGGCCCAAAACATCAGCCCTGTGAATCGTGGGTAGAGACACGGGCCGCTCTCGACATGTTTTCCAGAACATCATATAAAGTGCTGGCCACTTTTCCGCGGGCGGTGGCTCTACTTTGTCAGCCTCCCCTTGGCTTTAGGGAGCTGCACGGGCCTCACTGTGCACCTGCTGGGCAAAGGTGTGCTTTTCCTTTCTTGTCAGTTTGAGGTGAAGAGTCAGGAATTTTTCTCTTTCTGCCTGGAGTGGTGACTCCAGCAGTGAGGAAGATGTGAAAATCCATCAGGCAAAGCTAATGCGAAAGAAAGAAAGAAGAGGTGTAATTATCTGAATTACCTGACTTCCATTCACAGACTCAAGCCTTCTCTAAACTCAGGAGAACGACGTTCTCACGGGATGTGGAGGAGGGGGTACCTAATGAGACTTTTTTTAACCGATTTATGAATAATTCGCACTTGAAAACAGGAAAATCACTTTGGGGGCTTCATGCCAACTCCACAGGTTGCCCTCCAATTGTGATTAAGTTTCTGTAAGCTGGCTGCACAGGAGCACAGATTCCTACGTAGTGAGTGTTCTCAGCTGACTTCTGAGGTGGGGCCAGGGGACTCTGCCCGCCAGGCTCCTCTGTGGAGGCTGCTGAAAGCACTCCTGGACTTAGGCTCACGGAGGCACCTGCCCTGCTCCTGGCGTTCACCTGTCCGCGTGTGTCCACATTCACTGGAACCCAGGGGCACAGCCGGCCGTGGCCAGATGAGCGGAGGGAGGGTTCCTCCCGACTCCTCTCACCGGGACACGCACCTCCAACTGCAGCCACCCACCTTCCCCCTGAGCAAAATCAAACAAACAGGGAAGAGAGGATAGTGGATGGGAGAGAGAGGCTGGTGGTTGGGTTGGTTTTTTGTTTTTGTTTTTGTTTTTTTAATTCTTTGTGTCTGGGGCTCGGGGAAGGCAGAGCTGTGTGTTAAGTGGAAGTGACTCTCCGTGGAGGGAATCAGGCCGGACTGCTCCTGCCTGGCCGCTCAGTTCCCAGACCTTCCGACGGCAGCCTCCCCTGCGGCCTTCACACTCTCCAGCCGCGGGCCCAGCAGCCCTGCTGCCCGCCTGCTCCACGGCACCCAAGCGAATCCCCCTCCACTCTGCCTGCACGCACATGGCTGGGCTAACCGGGAGCCCAGGCCCAGCCGGCATGGCCCACAGAGAACTCATGTCACCCCCTCGTGGGGCCCTGCTGCTGCCTGACATTCTGACCCCACGCATTTTTTTGGTCTCCCTCACCTGCATGCCTTCCCTGTCCAGCTGCAACCGCTTCTCCCACTCTCACTCCAGAGAGCACCCTCGTTTCCCATTTCGCTGAGGAAACAAGCAGCAGTCGCGCGAACGCCTCTGCCGGGCCCTCCCGCCTTCCCCCAACTTCTCTGCATCTGGGCCCCCTGGCTTTGCCCCCTGCCTGGTTCCCCTGGGGAGTGGCCCTGCTCTGCCAGCCCAGCCTGTGCATCCAGTCCTGTCCCCCAGCCAGCCCGAGGAAGCTCTCCAGCAGCCTCTCCCCACCCTCCGTGCCCCCAGCTGGGCCTTTCTCACGGGCGTCCTGTGCCCATTACTCCACATCTACAGAAAGCATTTCCTGACCCCATGTCCCTCTCCAGCCACTACCTGCCTCTCTTCTTCCCCTTTGCACCCAAAACCGAATTCACCCCTGTCTCAAACCCACTCCGGCTACGCTTTTGCCCAACTCCAGAGCGTTCTCGCTGCTGATCCAGGGCCCAGTCAGCTCTCCTCCCCATCTCGCCTGGCCCACGGCTGGTTTGTGGCTCTGCCCTGGACGTTGCTCCCTGGCGTCCAGACCTTTGAGCTCTGCTTTCCCTCCATGGCTGGGCTCCCACCGGCCCCTCTGTGGCCCCAGCTCGTCTCGTTGGTCTCCATAGCAGAGGCTCCATCCTGGGTCCCTTTCCTTTCTCACTTAACTTAAAAAAGGTTCACATACCGTGACTCCCAAGCGTGTCCCCAGCCAGACTCGCCTGCTGATCCACACGCTCATGGGGTCCTCTGCCCCCGGTGTCTTCACTCCCTTGTCCAGCCACTGTCGTGAGCACCACGTGTCCACGGCTGGTTCCCAGCACACTCCTCTTGCAGCCGCAGCTCGGAGCCCTGGCCAAACCTTGGAGTCATTCTCAGCTGCTCCCTTCTCCTGCCCGTCTCTGGTCCCTTTGCACACCCCCCAGACTCTCCCTCTGTGACATGCCCAGAGCGCCTGCTTCTCAGATGCCTGGCATCCTCACAGCCCTGCAGGGTGGTCCCTTTGTGAAGGTTTGGGTGCTCGGCAGGTGGCAGGGGTGGGCAAGACCAGGCCGTCTGGGAACGTGGCCCTAACGAGCACCTTCTCTGTTTGCCCTGCAGCACAGCCCGTTCTTCGCCGAGCAGCTGACCGCTTTCCAGGTGTGGCTCACCATGGGCGTGGAGAACCGGAACCCACCGGAACAGCTGCCCATCGTCCTGCAGGTGAGTCTCTTCAGACCGGGCCAGACTGCCGAGGTCCCACAGGAAGGAAACCAGATGCCTGCACAACCCAGGAGTGCCTTCTGTCTCCCTGAGCCCTGTGGGTCGCTGACATCCTAGCCCCTCTGCCCCGAAGATGATGGCACGTGGGTCAGGTGGCATTTGGGTGAACGGATCACACAGATCCAATCAGGAGTCACTAGGCTGATCGTACATTCATTCCTAAAGGGTTTCCTCTAAAGCCGTTGATTTCCCTCCTCCACCCTCAGTGAAGTGTAACTTTGGGACTGGGGAGTCATCAGCCAGTCCACCAGCCCCCTCTCCCCGGCTACCATTTTCACTTGAGGAATTGCTGAGATTCTGCTCCAGATGGGCTTCGCTTCAGCGCGGGCTCTCAACACCACTGCCTCCTTCTCTCGGAAAGGACAGGAGCTGGCAGTGAATCCTGGGAGAGGAGGGAGGAGGCTCCCTGAGCAGAGTCTGACCGGCGGGAGTGGGTGGAGCGGGCTTTGTAGCCCAGCCCCGTAGGTTACGCCCTGAAGCTCACAGACCCAGAAGCTGGCAGCCCTTCCCTTACATGGGGCTGTCACGGCTGCTGTAACAAATAGGCCCTATTGGGACACGCCCTTCAGATGCCAGCGCCCACAGGGCCTGTGTCGTGTCAGTGCCGTTCACATGCGGACCGTGACCGGTTTGTGAGTTGGGAGGTCAGCGCGGTGGGTCCTGCTGGCTGGTTTTTGGTCACAGATAGGTTGGGAGGCCACGGAAATTGAAGAGTTTGTCACAGGTAGTGAAGTTAGAAAGATCCCACAGAACTTTTGTTTCAGTGAATGAGTGTTTGTGGGGAGGTGTGTGGGCTGGGTCAGATTCAAAGGAGTTTAAAATCCACTGGTCAGTGTAGCTATCAAGGTCTAAGAACTCAATTTAAAAGCTGGAAAAGAGTTTTTGTGATTGGCGTGGTGCGGTTGGACTTTGGCAAGAAGCTGTGCGTGGCCGTGCAGAGGGGCTGCCCAGCAGCAGGCAGGGAATGAGCAGGCCCCGCCCTTTTTGGTTTAAAGCTGAGTGGCTCCCCACACACAGAGGAAGAGCCCCACCTCCGGTACGGTGCTGAGTTCTGACAGTCGGCAGAGTGGGGTCCTCGCCTTCCCAGAAAGCAGATTGGGTGGCGGTGCCTCCGTGGAGAGGGCGGTGAGTGGCGCCCCCCACCTGCCCTGCTTCCTTCCAAAGCTCACATTTTCCGGTTAGGGCCGCTCACCACACTGACGGACAGCACACCAATCTTCACTGGACCAGGTGTTCATCCCGCCTCTGAGAGATCATTAGAAAACGGGGTCCAGTTTATCTCCATCACAGCCATGGCCTCGGCAGCCTTCCCTTCCGCCGTTCAGTCTGTGCTGCAGCAGTGGCAGCCAGCGTCACAGGTGCGCTGTAGGACTGAGGCTTCACCTCGTTCAGGACTTTGCCCCAAGAATCTCAGCCAGCGAAAGAGAAGTTGGGAGAAGGAACCGTGCACGTGGATGTGCTGAAGATGTTACCGCCGGCCTGTCCTCGCTGGCATTGTCTCAGGAGGACAGCAAAGAACCAGTGTGCCAGCCGGCTGCCCTGGTGTCATGGTCCCAGCTCCTCGGTAGGCCAAGGCCGGGTGCCAGCCGGCTGCCCTGGTGTCACGGTCCCAGCTCCTCAGTAGGCCAAGGCCGGGTGCCAGCCGGCTGCCCTGATGTCATGGTCCCAGCATCTCGGTAGGCCAAGGCCAGGTGCCAGCCGGCTGCCCTGGTGTCACGGTCCCAGCTCCTTGGTAGGCCAAGGCCGGGGAGGATCACTTGAGCCCAGGAGTTCAAGGCCAGCCTGGGCAACAGGGAGACTCCATCTTTACAAAATAAAACAACATTGTACCACATTTCACAGTGTGTATTTCAGCTGCTGTTGCTACATTATGACGGCTGCTTTCTGGACATTGTAAAAAGGATACAGACATTATTACTGTTCCTCCTGTATGTACCTAGATTCATTTAAGACTATCCTGAGATTGTAGAGTGGGGTGTAAACAAATAAACTGGCTCATGTTCAAAACCAAGAACACGCAGTGATAGCAGCAACGCAACCAAACATTTGACAGAAGCCCGCGTTTTCCCTTCCCGTGAGTGCAGGAAGGTGGCTGGCTGTGTGGGCCATGGATGACCGGGGGTAGTCGCACCATGGGTTGCCCATGCTGGGCCCCACGGCTTCTGTTGGTCACCTGGGTCACTAAGATGTCCCTCAAAAGACACTGGCTCTCCTACTGACCTTCCTACTATTTGAGCAGTGTGCTGGAGTAAGATCGGCCCTCTCCAAAGCAGGGCCCGATGCCAAGCATGTTTCATCCAGTTTCTTGGGGTCTGGCAAATAATCTTTTTGTAAATGGCCTTCTCTTGATTTCTTTCAATGTTCCCTTGGCCACCCACACTCCCTCAAGGAAGGAGAAGATCTGCTGGAGGCAGCTTTCTGACACTGACGTATGCGAAGACAGCCCCGGTCAGAGCGTGGGGCATTTCCCGCGTGGTTTTCCAGCAGGTGTGAGCGGCAGGTTCCTCCTCCTTCTGGAGGGTCTGTCTCCTGGCTGTGCCCAGCCGGGATCATTGGGCAGACCTACACTTAACGAGAAAGCAGGGAAAGATGAAGTGTAATGGGGTATCGGCTTCATTTGACGTATCCCCTGGGGCTGGCTTGTTTCTCATTAACTCGGCTCACTTCCCCGCGCTTTCTCTTCAGAGCCTTTATTTTTGCCAAAGTCTGGAACCCTGTAATCCTTAAAGTTATTTTCTAGTGCCTTGGCAAGTCAGAAAACATTACTTAAGGGAAAGGGAATTTTCCTACACACTTCCTGGTTTTCCAAATCCCTGCCACTTCGTCCCTGAGCCAGAGGCAGTGGCTGGTGACCCTCCAGGGTCATGCGCGGTGTCTCATCAGGCCCGGCTGAGTCACAGCCCCTCCTGTAAATGTGAGCGTGGAACAGGCCTTTCCTGCTTTCCAGCCTCAATATCCTCTCTAACTTTTAAAAATATAAATAAACAGAGGAACAAGAAGGAAGATACAATGTTTTAAAAAACTGCTGTTTTGTCCACTCCCTTGATTGATGGTGCCTATTGGACGCCATCTTCTCACGAGGCGCTCCGGACTCTCATGGCCTGCGGGGTGCGTCTGCCCTCTGTCTGCAGTGGCTCGCCTGGAACTCATTGCTTTGTGCACCCCCGCAGGTGGCTCAGGAAGCCCAGGCAGGGGAATGAAGAGCACCTAAGTTATGGAAGAAAGGAGAGAAAGTGACTTTTCTTCTTTCTTTTTCAGGAAAAAGGTGACGGTGATATTTATGTGTTCATTTATTTGCTTGGCCCTTTTTCTGTTAAATAGATCCAGGGGATACGGGTGCAGGTTTCTTGTATGCGCGCACTGCGTAGTGGTGAAGTCTAGGCTTTGTGTGAACCTGCTACCCGCATAGTGGACATTGTACCCCATAGGTAATTTCTCAGCCCCTCACACCTTTTGGAGTCTCCAGTGCCTGTTATTCCACCTGTGTGTCCCTGTGGGCCCGTCGTTTAGCTCCCACTCACTTCTACGTGAGAACATGCAGCAGTTGGTTTTCTGTTTCTGAGTTATTCCACTGAGCGTAATGGCCTCCTGTTTCACCCATGTTGGTGTAACAGACACGATTCCATTCTTTTTCTGGCTGAGTAGTAGTCCATGATGCATAGATGCCGCAGTTTCCTCATCCAGTCCTCTGCTGATGGGCGATCTCCGCTTGCTGCGGCCTCCACCTCCTGGGTTAAAGCGATTCTTGTGCCTCAGCCTCCTGAGTAGCTGGGATTACAGGTGTGCACCACCGCGCCTGGCCAAGAGTGATTTTATAGGATGAAGTTTTAGTCCCTTTTCCTAGATGTCACAAATCAGTGTGAGCATTTCATTTAGGAAGTCTAGTTGCTCTCTCTCCGTGCATCATTTTTTTTACAAATAGAACGTGGGGTCTGAAACTACAGGGGATCATTACCAAGTGACAGCAGCGTGACAAACTAGAGTGATATTATACATACCATATACATCGGGGACTCCAAAACCACCCCGCTCATCAGGCACCCTGGCCTGCAGCACCCGTCATTCCAGGGCTGGAACTGGGGAATCTTTTCTCATGAAGCAGCTCTTCCAGTATGTCGGTCTGAGCACTCTCTTTGTGTACAAGGCCAATGAAATTTGACAGCCTTAGCAATTCTGTTTTAATTTGGTCACCTCAGCTGGATTGCAGTGGCGTGATCATAGCTCACTGCAGCTTCCAGCTCCTGGGGTCAAGCCACCCTCCTGACTCAGCCTCCTGAGTAGCTGGAACTGCACACATGCGCCACCACGCCCGGCTCATTTTTGTATTTTTTGTAGAGACAGGGTTTCACCACATTGGCCAGGCTGGTCTCGACCTCCGGGCCTCAAGCAGTCCTCCAGCCTCAGCCTTCCAAAGTGTTTGGATTACAGGCGAGAGCCACCATGCCGGCCACCATGGTTAATCTTTAGTTTGGGTTACCACAGGTGGAAAGTAAATCTCAGTAAGTCACTCAGCTCACCATCATTTACTTCTGTAATTTCCATAGATCCTGGGATGGTCCAAAACAGGAGATTTTTGTTTTTGTTGTTTTTAAGTACAAAAACAACATTGGCATTTTTTCCTAAAAGCCAATCCTATTTTTAAAATAACTTTGCTTTTTGTTGACTTCAGTTTTTAAAAAATGTAAATCAACAAAGGGTGGCAGGAAGATGATGTAATGTTTGAAAAAAAAAAAAAAAAAACAGTACTTAACATTTTCCGCAATACTCTTTATTGATGATGTTTCTTTGCAAATGAAATAATTGCAGCACCAAATCCCGGTGCTGCCCACAGACCTCTGACGCCGACTCCCAGGCAGGTGGGCCACCAAGGCCTCAGCGGGTGTTTCTTCAGCACGTGCAGCTCCTACAGTGCGACACTCAGGACCACATCGTGGTAGTGATTGTGAACCAGCGTCCCGTTTGCTTTTGTTGTTTGTAAGGAGCACATTCTAAGGAGACCTCTAGTGCCAGGCTAGTGTCCTGGTAAAACAGTAACAGGAACTGGTCTTGATGAGACCTCTTCACCCCGTCCTGCCACTTCTTCCATTTGCTCTGCAACTATTGACCTTAGAAACAGAGGCTTGTCCCTATTTACAGTGTTGGAAATAACAAAGAGAATCAGAAAACAATCTCTGTACGCTTTAGACCTGATGATGTCTTTGATTTCTGATGATTGCAGCCATGGCGAGACCTGCCTCCTCTCCTCTCCCTGGGCCATCTAGAAACTTGAGCCTCAGGCAGCCTAGTGTCCCTACACACAGAGAGTCAGTCCTCAAAACCCTGGATGGTGGAGACATCCGGATGCCAAATGCTACGATAGTGACTTTACATCCGCTGGGCACCCTGGTGCACACAGCTTTGTGCTAGATGCTTTGCGGACTCTGTCTCACTGAAGTTTGAGAATAAGCCCAAGTCAAGTACCGTTGTCTCCATTTTTCTTGATAACGATATTGAAGTTTCCCAAAGTTAGGAATTTAAGCCAATACTTGGGCAGAGATGGAGGCAGGGTTAACATCAGGTTAGCCGGCCCCAGAGCCCGTGCTTTTCCACCGACTGGCCCATCAAACCCGAGTTCCAGGCAGCAGTGGCATGCGACATCCCCCAGGTTCAGCACGGGAAAGGGATCCGGTTCCAGTTCACATATCCTGCGAGCAGTCCCACGTTCCTTTCCCAGCCTCTTAATCAGAGACTCTCAGCATCGCCAACACGGGAAACCTGCCACTCCTGGGTCCATGGTGAACCCCGCGTGGGAGCTGGCTCCAGGCACATAGAAGGGAAGTGACACCGCATTCCCACTGCTCTTTCTCTGCCCCCAGGGCTGGACATGCTGGGATCCCCCCGCACCCTGTCTGCTGCCCCTCCAGCCTGGCTAACCACCTCCTCTTGCTGCCACCTGTGACCTTCCCTGTCCCCCTGCCAGCGCTCTTCGCCCCCGACAGGGAAGCTCCTCCCTCTCCACGGCCCCACAGGGCCCATCCTCCTGACTCGGTGGCTCCTCCATGGAAGTCGTGCTGGCCGACCCCCAGGAGCGTAGCCCAGATGGCTGCCATCTCCTCTCCCCTCCTCCCTGTCCTCCACCCTCACTGGCCTCCTCGTCCCTTTTCCCTGCCTCTCTTGAGGGTTTCCAAACTCATCCCAAACCTTCTCTTCTAGAGTTTGCTTTTCTTCACCCCTTCTTCTCTCAGCCTCTGGCCAGTGCTACAGTCTCTTCCTCCCCATCTCCATCTCAGCACCCTGGTCAAGCCCACCCGCTTCTACTTGCCTCCCCCACTTCCCGCCTCTTGCCAGGCCTGTCCCCAAAGCGTGCACACTGGACCAGTCACTGCTGCTTAACATCGCTCAGTGGCTTCTGGATCTCGAGACAAACTGACCTCTCTGCACACTGTCTGCGGGGCCTTTCCTGATCCGACCCCCTTCCTGTCACTGACCTCAGTCATACCGATGGCCTGTGCATCCTCAGACACCCAAGCTCTTCCAGCCTCTCCACCTGCAACGCGGTAACCCCCTCACGTCACCTCCAGCACCCGCTGCCCAGCTATGTCCTGTGCATCTTCTCCTGCAGGGAGGGAAAACCTCCGAGGCCTCCAGTGAGGCCAGGTCAGGGCCTCCTGGGGTCTGTGTGTTCAGGCATCTCTACTAAAAATACAAAAATAAATTAGCCGGGCATGGTGGCACGTGCCTGTAGTCTTAGCTACTCAGGAGGCTGAGGCAGGAGAGTGGTGTGAACCCGGGAGGTGGAATTTGCAGTGAGCCAAGATCACGCTACTGCACTCCAGCCTGGGCAACAGAGCGAGACTTTGTCTCAAAAAAAAAAGTGTGAAACTTTGATATAACAAAAAAAGTATGTGCAAAACCTCTGGCAAAGCCCACTCTAATTTATAAGGAACTCTGACGTGTCAATAAGAAAAAGCCACATATTGAAGTAGAAAACTAAAGGCATGCAGGGCAAGTTTACTGTGGAAATGACCCATCAACCTGCAAAATGTACTCCCCTTGAAATCCAAGAAATCCAGAAGAAAAGGATGTATTTTCCCCTGTCCTGTTGGCTAATGATAGTGTAATATGGGCTAGTATTGTCCCACAAGCTTTAAATTTGTTATTTAATTTAATGCAACTCTTACGGGCAGGTGTTGTCTTGTATGTGTTTTATGAATTAATAAATCAAGGCTCAGCGATGTTAAGTAATTTGTGCAGAGTCACACCCCAGTGAGCGCTGCTGGGTGCCATCGAGAGTGTGAGTGGGGTCAGCCGCACGGTCATTTGGTAACTGAAGTTCTATGCTCCGACCTTACCTTTTTAATACTCACATTTATCTTACTGGAAAAAAATCATGTGAGTGTGCAGATGTACCTATTAGGATATTGATCACAGTATTATTTATAAGAGCAGCATTTCAGCCAGGCATGATGGCTCACGCCTGTAATCCCAACACTTTGGGAGGCTGAGGTGGGAGGACTGCTTGAGCCAGAAGTTCAAGACCTGCATGGGCAATGTAGTGAGACCCCCATCTCTATAAAAAATACAAAAATGAACCAGGCATGGTGGCACCTACCTGTGGTCCTAGCTACTCGGGGGTGAGGTGGGAGGACCACTTGAGCCCAGGAGGTTGAGGCTGCAGTGGTCATGATCTGGCATCTATACTCTAGCCTCGGCAATGGAGCAAGACCCTATCTCAAAAATAAATAAATAAAAATTTTAAAAGTAGGAACATTTTGATGATAATTTAAATATCTATCAGTGGGGAAGTTGTTTAAAAGAATCGTGTCCATTTGTGTAATGGAAGTACTGTGCTGGCATTGGGAATGATATGGTCAGTACATACCTAGTGAAATGAACAATGTTCACGGTGCATTATTTAGTTAAAAAAGGAGCTGAGAAATATAGTCACTTATTATCTAGTTCAGAATCAATAAGAGAAGTGGACATAGAGAACAATGTCTGGGTTCATGTACCAAAATATCACCAGCGAGTTAGCTTTTTAAATGCAAGTAAAACATGTTTGTTCTAATATTATCTACATTGAGTGTGTTTTATCTGTGTAATAAAGGAATAAAGCATGTTTTCTTCACCTGTCTAAAAGCATGAACTTGTAAGGAAAGGAGCACCGGCTCTAGGTAACTGTGACTGAGGCAGCAGACAGATCTGAACTGTGGTCAGACCGCTCTGAAGCTGGCAGCTCGTGCAGCAGCGTTTCGGGGCTGCACACCAGTATGGTTTGCAGTGATACCATTTTCTTCTTGTTCTTCCAGGTGCTGTTAAGCCAAGTGCACCGGCTGAGAGCATTGGACTTGCTTGGAAGATTTTTGGACCTGGGTCCCTGGGCAGTGAGCCTGGTACGTGCCTTCCTCATTAACCTGGGGGCTGAGGGAGGTGGGACAGAAATTAGGCTCCGTGTTTCAGTCTGTGCACGTATTTCATGATCCAGAGCCACCCGCAGCCGTGAGACCCAGGGCGAGTGTGTCCACCGTGGTGGTGTCCTGTCGATCCTCAGGCCCTCAAGGAGCCCCCTCTGTACCCGTGCAGCCTGCAGTGCTGCCTGGCGTTTGGGGTTCTGGGGTTGTCGCCCCTCTGTACGTCCGATGTTAGACATAGGAGTGAGCGTGTTGGCTGGTCACCTTTTCCTGAGCGGCCGCCCAGCGCTGGGGAGGAGCAGGGCGCCCCTGAGCCTGACGCAGCGCCCGCCTCGTGCTGCTGCTTCCCCCAGGAGGAGTCTGGATCCTCAGCACTGTCTGCTCACCGTCATGACAGGCACAATTCGGAAACGCTTTTCTGGTTCCTCATCCTATAGAAGAGTAGTGATGGCCACTAAAAAAAAAGCCTGGCAGAGCCAGGATCAAGAAGCGACACGCGTTTAACAAATAACTCACGGGGAAAGTTAAAGGAGGCTGAGAGGGAACTTCAGAGTCAAGGAAACTCGAGAGACCTATGACCAGTTGCCGTGTACAGTAAACCTTACTTGGTTCTGTTGAAGTTCCAAAAATGAATACTCATAAAACGATCAGAAATTTTATAGGAGCTGGATTTATATGTTATTCAAGAATCACTGTTCGTTTTTATTGGGTGTGGTAATGGTACTGGATCGTGTTTTCATAAAAGAGACCTAATTTTTTTAGAGATAGACACTAAATATTCACCAGTGAAATCACATGACATCTGAGCCTTAACTTACTGTGCTTGGGAGCAGCGCGGTGGGGCGGTGGGTGCGGAGCCGCTGTCACGGAAGCTGGGTGGTGGGTACCTGGGGTCTGGTGTATTTATTTTCATCATATAATGTTGACAAAGAGTGATAATTGATAGTCCAGCACCGAAGGAGGAGAGAAAACATCCAAAACTAGGAAAAATCATTTAACACTCACCACTGGGCCATTTTCACTCCAGGTGCCTGAGGCCACAAATAGCTTGTAACAGAGTCGGGGCCTGAGTCATCGGAGGAGGCTGGCGTGACTCGGTCACTCGGTCATCCTGGAGAGGCCTGCGTGGTATTGCTGGCACTCTAAGAAGACAGGAAGCATGTATTCATAAGATTTTAGAAAGAGGTTCATGTTTAAGATTAATATTTTAAAACCAATTTCTTCCCTTTATTTTGCTAACACATGAACCAAGGCTGGATAAATGTATTTTCACAGGTACAGATTTTGCCTCTCAGGTGAGGGCCCAGGCACCTGAACCAGAGAAACTGCTCTTTCCTTGTTAAATGTGACCTTTCATGGGGAAGGAACCCAGGCCTGGGTCCCAGCACCACTTCCTGTCTTGGTTGTAGGGGACCTCACTTATTGGAAAGGGATACCTTTGGAATATCTGTGAAATTCCAGCAGCTTTGAGATGAGGACGCAGCAGAAACCCCTGCCTGTCGAGTGCAGCCATACTTTGCCAGGCATCCTCCACGTGGCAATGCCCTCCACGCTGTCCCTCCCCTGCCTCTGAGGGCAGAGTCCCCTGAGAATGACACGCGGCCAGAACCGGGCTCCAGCGAGCCCCTGGGCGACCCCTGCTCCTCCCTGCCTTTCCTAGGGCAGGCATCTTTCTCCCAAGGTGTGTCTGAAGCTCTGATGTGAGTGTTGAGCGAGCTGGCCACGCCGTCACGGAGAGGTGGCCGTGGCTCACATGTGAACAGCACAGTGAAGGCGCCTGATGCCATGCTGCTGAGAGCGGACGGGGCCACCGAGGGCAGGCGAGGGCCCCAGGCGCAAGCAGCCTGCACCTCCACAAGGAAAAGCTGCCGCCCGATTAATTCCAGTCTCCTGACACCAGTCTAGGCTAGCAGTACGTGGCAGCTTCTAGGAATAAATCAGAGATGAATAAATCTGGAGGAAGCCCCTCTTTACTTTAAGTGAGGCCCATTCATTCCTGTTGCGTTTCCCATATGTGCTGAAGATAACACTGCAGCTGGTCTCGCGTGGCACCCCTGCTGCTGCCCGTTCCCTCGCTGCGGCACAGGCAGAGCCCTGGCGCGCTGACGCCCTCCCTCTCCCCCAGGCCTTGTCTGTCGGCATCTTCCCCTATGTGCTGAAGCTGCTCCAGAGCTCGGCCCGAGAGCTGCGGCCACTTCTCGTTTTCATCTGGGCCAAGATCCTCGCAGTGGACAGCGTGAGTATCCCCGCCCTCCTCCCCAGGGTGATGTGAACCCGCCGGCCCTTCTGGGAATGCCAAGCCCTGTGCTTCCGGCCTGCCCTTTCTCCAGCCTCGCTCCCTGGCCAGGCGCCGTAGCCAATCCCGTCCTCTCTTCCGGGGTAAAATGGGACACGCCCCACCTCGGCAGCCACCTCTGGGTCATGAGGGCTGTCACCTACCTGTCCTGTCCCTGGCCTTCCCCCGGTGCCCTGTGCTCAGTTTGCCCGCCCCCCACCGTCCTGTCCCTGGCCTTCCCTTGGTACCCTGCACTAAGTCCCTCCACCTGTCCTGTCCCTGTCTTTCCCCTGGTGCCCTGCGCTCAGTCTTCCCCCTCCGCCTGTCCTGTCCCTGGCCTTCCCCCGGTGCCTTTTGCTCTGTCTCCCCCGCCCCCCGGCTTGTCCTGTCCCTGGCCTTCCCCTGGTGCCCTGTGCTCAGTTCCCCCCCACCCCCCACCCACCGTTCTGTCCCTGGCCTTCCCCTGGTGCCCTGCGCTCTGTTCCCCCCCAACCTGTCTTGTCCCTGGCCTTCCCCTGGTGCCCTGTGCTCTGTCCCCCACACCTGTCCTGTCCTTGGCCTTCCCCTGGTGCCCTGCGCTCTGTCCTCGCTGGCCTGGCCTGTCCCTGGCCTTCCCCTGGTGCCTTGTACTCTGTTCCCCTGCCTATGTTTGACCCCCCATAAGGTTGCCCCTGTGCTCCTGACCCTGGCTGGAAACAGCCCCGCCATGGCAGTGAACTTGGCCTCTGCCTCGCCCAGACCCCGCATCGGCCCCTCCTGTGCCCACCATTGCATTTCGCCCCCTCCTCAACCCTGAACAGGTGGTCTGGGCCAGGCCCCGAGGTGTTAGGGGCCACCCCCTTACATGGGGCTGCCCGACTCTGCCCTCTTTGATGGACATCAGCCCTGGCCCTGCAGCCACATGTTCACCCCTCAATCATCTAGGCCAGGGACCCATATTTAGCTATGTTAAGAGAGACACAAGGTCAGCTGTCCCTGTCCCCAGCGGCTCATGCTTAGGTGCGGGCGAGGGTTGCAGGTGACACCAGCCCTGTTGTGAGGCGGGGTCACCTCCTCCAGGAGCTACCAGAGAGATGGGTCAGAGGAGTGGGGCTGAGAAGTCCTGTGGGCGGGACCCGGCCTATGCTGAACTGGAAATGCCAGGAAGGGCCTTGAGAGGGTGGATGTCAGGCAGGGGTCCAAACATGGAGGTGGCAGGGCCGGCTAGGAAGACGTTTAGAGGAGGGCAGGCCACTCCGCGCCCCGTGTGGCCTGTGTGCAGGGACACGCAGCGAGGCCCCATCCAGGCGGAGGGTACACAGTTCCAGGTAGACGCAGCTGAACATCATTTAGCAGGTGGAGGATTATTAGAGATTTTGGAACAAAGACATCAAAAGAATGAAGCTGTGGTTTATAAACATTGCCTGGCCTGGGAGTCAAGTGGATTGTGGGGCAACACGGGGTGGGGGCATTTTCCTCCAGGTGCATGGGCGGAGGAGGTCAGGCTGCAGGGCTAGGAGGGTGGCAGAGAGGGCGGTGGCACCAAGCCTAGGTGGGGAGAGGCGACTCGGGCTGGAGCCTGTGTGGCCGGCCAGGGCTCAGGGAGCCTTCCAGAGACAACTGGTCAGGAGCCCTGTGCGGCCTGGGAGCAGGGCTGGCCCAAGGCCAAGACTGGGGGACCTTGTCCACCCAGTGGTGATGGCAGGCGAGACCCTCGAAGGAAAATGTGGCAGGCTCAGCTGCGGGAAGCTGGAAAGCTCCTCGTGGCACAGTGGAGAGGAGAGCAGTACCGAGTGGTGCACAGGGTCTGGGAAGGGCCCATTTACAGAATGTGAAGATTCTGGAACAAAGGGTGTGTGCTGGGAATGGAGTTGGGGGATATGTTGCCCTCTGCAGAGTTGTTGGGGGACAAAGGTGTCCCAGAGATGTCTTTGCCTTTAGCTGTCCATGTGCAGAGGGACACGGGTGTGATACAGAGGTGGGGTCGGAGCCAGGCTGGCGGGGAGCCCCAGGTAGAAGCCAAGCCAGTCTTGCTCTAGGGCTGCTGCCCTGGGTGAGGAGAGCAGGATGGAGGAGCCGGCATCTGGGCAAGGCTGGCTTTGCTCCCTGCTTGGTTTTGAAGCAAACCAACCCCAGCAGCTCATTGGAAGGCCTGTAAGAGCAGGTCCACGTTCCCCACTGGACTTCAGCCAACTGCTGGGTGCATGTGTGTGCCGGGGTGGTGATGTGTACGGGCACTTGGGTGTGTGTGTGTGTGGCGCCCTGTCCAGCGGCTTTCATATGCAAAGTCTCTTAACTCCTACATCCCCTGTGAAGTCAGCATGAATTTGCATCCTATTTACTGGTGAGGCACCGCCCATAGGAGGGAGCAGGGGCCACGTAGCTACCTTGCTGGGCTCCTGCCTGGGTCTGGAGCTCCTTGCCCACACAGGGAAAGGGAGGGTTTAGCAGAGTCACAGAGCAGGTATGGGAGAATGCCAAGACCACCTTGGAGAAGCCATGGCTTGGAGCCGGGAAAGGCCACCCTTTCCTTTTCTGTGAGGCAGGTGAGGGGAGAGTGGACGGAGCTTACAGCCCCCGGGGCTCCTGCCTGCTGCCGTGGCACTCCCTGGGCCAGATTCTATCAGCTCCTCCGTCCAGTCACTGGCACTGAGACCCGGCCTCATCCTTAGCCCTGTTGGCCATGCTGCACCGGCCACCAGGACCTGCTGTGCTTGCTGAAGCTGCCACGTTGGGCTTTGTTCAGCCAAATTCACTGCCCCCGCTGTGCAGGCACTGGTAGGCACCCCGAGCTGCACTGCACGCTCTCATCCATCAGCCCTGCACACCCCACACAAAGCCACTGCTGTGTCCCCCACCCACAGCCCCTGCTGACTCAGGTCCAGCCCAGGCCATCAGGTCCCCAACTGTGCTGCCCACGGACCCCTGGGCCCCTGCTCAGCCCCTGTGCTCTCCGCACCCAGCCCTGACCATAGCCTCCCCACACCCCAAGGGCTCACCTAGGACTTTGGTGTGGCAACAAAAGCAGGGGAGGGGGGAGGCCGCCGCCGAAGCGGGGGTGGGGGGAGGCCGCCGCCAAAGCAGGGGAGGGGGGAGGCGGCAAGGGCTTCCACCTTGGAGGTGTGTGTCGATCCCACCCAGCAGCAGTGTTGCCCTCTTGCTAGTTCCACTGATTGTTGTAGATTCCCTGGGATTTTCTGCTAGTTCGCTGGTTCTTGTAGATGCCCTGGGATTTTGTGTATATGCTCTCTCCGAGAAGCAGCCTCCAGCCCCTCTTCCGGTTCCGGGATCTCTCACTCTTTTTCTGGGCCTGGGGCACTGACCATGGCTCTGCCGGCTGCCATGCTTGCCATCTCTGCTCCTGATTTCCTGAGCTGGATGCCAGGAGCTGCTTCTCCTCCTCTCAGCGCAGCTGAGGCTGACCTTGACCTCACTTCAACCTTGAACCCTCCTGGGCCCAGTGCTGCAGACCTGGCTGTGACCAGGGAACACTCCATAATGGTGACCGGAATACCATATATTTCAGCAAAATATTTTCCCTGCCACCCATTAAACTACGGATAAAGAATGACTGCTTTGAAAGATTGGCTAAAGCCCTGGATTTAAGAGTTAAAAGCGTGAGTTTGATCCCATCACCGCATTTGCTCTGACAAGTCATTTTTACTTCGTTGGCCATGATTTGCCTCTGCAAAATCATGGCAGCGATCCTTAGGCTGTCTGCCTCCAGCCACAGTTCCAGAGCTCAGAACCAGGTTGTGCAAAACTGCTGTGTAAATGATAGAGGAACAGGACCAGGAAGGGGCACCACGTAAATCTCACATCTCTCCTGCCTGCCTCTGTTGCACTAAAACCTTTTCTTGCTAAACAGAAAGCTTGACTTTGTGAGTCAGGAAGCGAGAGGTTTGGATCATTTCTATTTTACTCTTCTTCAGATTCATCGAAGAGTCACATTATGTAAACAAAGGGTGTTTGGCAGGAAGTCATTTTGAAACATGGTTTCTCTCCTACCCCAGTGTCTTCAGTCATCTACATGGACACACTTAGAAATGTCTTGGCACCTGGCCATGGATGAAGGACCATGTGTAGAGGCTCCCAGATGCACAAAACGGTGACATTCATGTGACGCAAAGCCCAGGGTGAAGGGGCGGAGGAGATGCCGTCCGCATGCAGGGGTCTGGGATTACAGCTGCCTGAGCCTGCTCCCCATCGCTGCCCCAGCCCCTCCAGTGCTGCAGGAACGTGTCCAAGCCAACTTTGATTCTCAGACTTCGTGTTTTTAGTACCTTTTAGGACCTGGAAATTGATGATGTCTTTATTTTCAGTCTCAGGGGTGGCTCTTGGTGAAAGGGGACCGCCTTCATCGTGACGTTCTCGCTGCATCCACAGCCCATCATCGTGTTGCAGTGCAGGGCGTCTTGTTCAAAACTGGCTCTTGGTCCCGTTGATCTCCCAGGGCCTGTTAGTTTCGAGTGCCCCAAATGGCAGAACGTGGCCGTGAGCACAGAGGCTGCAGCGCGCCTTCGTTTTACACCCTGCTCCAGGCAGATACCAGGGCCTCAGGTTTCGTATTCATGATGCTGAAGGGGTTATCTGCTCAATACTGCTTGGGGAGCTGTTCCCACAGCCTGCTGGGCATGCCCTTGCCTGCAGTGTTCTTGTAACTGCCTGCAGGCACCACAGGCCTTCCTGTGAATTAATTTCTTAACCAGCTTGTTGCACCTGCATATTTAAAAGCAATCATTCCACTGAGGAGCATTTTGAAGTGTTTCTGGTAGAAACTGAGCCTCATCTACCTCACCTGTCTTGCCCTTCCTTCCATCGTTACCCTGGCGATACCTTCTCAGAGATGAGGTTTCCCTGTGTTTTTGAGGGGTCGTTCCTCCACTCCCTTCCCCTCCCCACATCTGGCTATGGATGTTGCTATGGGTCCTCCGGAGCTCCACCCCTACCCCCCATGATGTGTGCACCCGGCATAATGTGTG